CTTCTTGGATCAACTATCAACACTCATGGAAGCAGTAGTCAAGAGATCAGACGACGGACATATTGCATTGGGCAAATCTGCTGCACAGGAACTTTTTATTAAAGTGTTGAAGAGCAGAAATGTCAGCTTGAGGACTAGGGTGCACCTGACCCAAGCCATGGTGTTTTCAATAGCCTCATATGGATGCAAAAGCTGGACAGTGAATAAGGTAGATAGTAGAAGAATTGATGCCTTTGAGTTGTGGAGTTGGAGGAGAATACTAAAAGTGTCATGGACTGCCAAAAGAACTAATAGATCTGTTTTGGAAGAAGTGCAGCCAGAGTGCTCCTTGGAGGCCAGGATGGCTACGCTTCGTCTCTCATACTTTGGACATATTGTCAGGAGGGAACAGTCGCTAGGGAAGGATGTCATGCTGGGTAAGATGGAGGGTCAGAGTAAAAGAGGAAGACCCCCAACGAGATGGATCGGCCAAGTGGCATCACTGATGGTGTCAAGTGTGGCAGCGGTAGTGAGATTGGCCCAGGATCAGACATTGTTTCGTTCTGCTGTGCATGGGGTCACTATGAGTTGGTTCCGACTCAATGGCACCTGACAACAACAACAACATACACCTACAATGAAGACCAATTGATACCACTGTTATTAAAATTTACGCACTAACCACTAAAGTCAAGTGATGATGGAATTGAAGAATTCTGCCAACTTCTTCAGGTTGAATTTGATCAACCATGCAATCAAGATGCATTGATCATTACTGGTGTTTGGAATGCTAAAGTTGGAAACAAAGAAGAAGGATCAGTAGTTGGAAAATATGGCCTTGGTGATAAAAACTACGGTGAAGATCACATGATGGAATTTTTCAAGACCAAGGATTTCTTCATTTAAAATCCCTTTTTTCCCCCAACAACATAAAAGGCTCCTATGCACATGGACCTCCCTAGATGGAATACATATTAATCAAATTACCTACATAGAGTAGTGATTGCAAACCTTAAGGTCAGCAGTTCGAAACTACCAGCTACTCCGTGGGAGAAATATGAGGCTTTCTGCTCCTGTAAAGATTTACAGCCTTGGAAACTCTGCACAGGGTCACTATGGGTTGGAACCGACTTGACGGCACTTAACAACAACAACAAATAGGATGAGACAATTTTTAAGCCCAATATCATCAACCAAAACAAGGTCAGGGACTGACTATTAAACTGATCATCAATTGCTCATGTGCAAGTGCAGGTTGAAGCTGAAGAAAATTAAAACAAGATGAAGAGAGCCAAAATATAGCCTTTAATATGTCCCACCTGAACTTACAAACCATGTCAAGAACAGGTTTGATGCATTAGACACTAATGACCCAAAACCAGAAGAGTTGTAGGATGGCATCAAGAACATCACACGTGAAGAAAGCAAAATGTTATTAAAAAGACAGGGGGAATAAAAGGAAAAGACTAAAATAGATGTCAGAAGGGACTCTGAAACTTAATCTTGAATTTAGAGAAATTAAAGCAAATGGAAGAAATGATGAAGTAAAAAAGCTGAACAGAAAATTTCAAAGGATAGCTCAAGAAGACAAAGACAAGTATTATAATAAAATGTTCAAAGACCTAAAGTTAGAAACGAAAAGACAAGAAAATACTCAGCATTTCTCAAGTTGAAAGAACTGAAGAAAAAAAAAATTAAAGCCTCCAGTTGTAATATTGAACTATTCCATGGGGCAAAATATTGAATGATGTAAGAAACATTTAAAGAAGATGGACGATATAAACACAGTCACTGTACCAAATAGAATTGGTTGATGTTCAATCATCTCCAGAGGTAGTGTATGATCAAGAACTGATGGTATTGAAGGGAGAAACCCAAGCTGCACTGAAAGCATTGCTGAAAAATAAGGCTCCAGGAATTGATGGAAATATTTCAACAAACTGATGCAATGCTTGCTTGTCTATGCCAAGAAATTGGGTGACCTGGCCAACCAACTTACTGGAAGAAATCCATATTTGTACTCATTCCAAAGAGGACTTGAAATACTTACTGATAAAGATCAAAGACTACAACCTTCATGCTAAACATGTTCATGGATTGCAATGCAATGTAAAGAACAAAAACCTCACAACTGGAGAAATAAATAACATTATAATAAATGGAGTAAAGACTGAAGTTGTCCAAGACTTCATTGTGCTTGGATTAACAATCAATGCTCATGGAAGCAGCAGTCAAGCAATCAAACAATGTATTGCATTAAGCAAATCTGGTGCAAATATCTTTTTAAATTGTTAAAGAGCAAAGTTGTCAGTTTGAGGATTAAGGTGCACCTGACCCAATTAATGGTATTTTCATTCATCTTACATGCATGTGAAAATGGGACAATGAATAAACAAACCACAGAATGATCTATGCACTTGAATTATGATGTTAGCAGAGAATATTGAAAGTACCATGGATTTTCAGAAGAAAAAACAAATCTCTTGGAAGAAATACAGCCAGAATGCTCCTTAGAAACAAGAATGTTAAGACTTCATCTCTCGTATTTTGGACATGGACATGTTTTCAGGAGGAATCAGTCCCTTGAAAAGGACATCATGCTTGATAAAGTGAGGGTGAATGAAAAAGAGGAACACCCCAACAAGATGGATTGACACAGTTCCAAAATGGGCTCAAATATAACAATTGTGAGGCTGGTGCATGCCCAGGCAACACTTTTTATGTTGTGCATAGAGTCGCTATGAGTTGGAATTGATACAAGCGGACCTACCAACAAGAGTGTAGAGCCACACAGAAGAATGCCTTTGTGTCATCTATAAAATACAGGTAAACATATATCTGGTGTTCTCTGCATTCACCCATCTATCTTTCAGCAAGAATGATAAGCCTTTTCCATGTCCTCTTCTGAATTCTGCTTGAATTTGTGACAGGTCTATCCAGGTACTGCTGCAAACCGTATTTGAATTATCATCAGAAAAATGTTGCTGGCTTGTGCTATAAATTGTATTGTTCAGTAATTTCTTCATTTCATTGATCCACATTTCTTTGAAATGGACAAAGATAAAATACATACATTCAAGACAGCTGTCCAGGTAACTGTCTCAATTTTTGGGGTGTAAACAAGTGAGTGCTTCCAGTGTTGCATCCATTTATTGAAGCATCTTGATTGGTATTCCATCAGTTCTTAGAGTTTTGTTTTTTGTTTTTTTTCTAAGTTTTCATTGAGAACTGGATGATGGTTCACATAAGAGAACATCAGTTTTACATTCATCCCATCATGTTTCGTTTCACTGAATGATTACAATCCCCTCCATGCATCATTATTCAACAGCATTTGCTTCCATTCTCTCTGGGTTTTTTTGGATGTACACCGAAGCACTCAGGAATATACAACCATTTAAACAACCAAAAGGCTCTCAGCACACAACCCCTCTCCCTTCCTGAGTCCAGGGTCCCCAGCCGCTCCATCTCTCCACGTCATCATCTCTGCCTCCATATCTGGTGTCACTTCTTCTCTGGATAGGGTCCCACACTCCACTCTTATCCCTTGATGGTCCCAGGGTTCTCTGTTCCTGGACTGCAAAATCAACCACTCCTCTTCTTTTGTTACCAAACACCTACCTTTACATTTGTAACACTCATAATCAGTCCTGATAACAATTATTCACTATTGAACCACTATTGAGTCTTATTCCCATCTCCTTTCACCAGCCCCATTCAGACAGGTTGGAAACCACTCAGTGGAGATTCTACCTTCCCTCATACCTTCTGAAACTAGGCTCACTCTTGAAAGCTTATAAGCTAGTCACTTCGTGCCTTTGTAGTCCCCCATTTTGGGTAGCCAGTGTCTAAGTTGCCCATCCCTGTCAACCCTGTGGACTGAGGGGGTGGGAATGATTCTTGTTGTAAAGATTCGTTCCCTTTTTTGAGCTACTACATCCATGAGTATAGGTCAAGTTCATCAAATTGTAGTGGATTACTCTTTTTTCCCTCTTCTTTCTTCCTCTAGTCAATTTCTGATCATTCAGCCATTGAAGCCAGGTCTAATGGGTGTTAACTGCAAGTATGGGTGTTCTTGGAGGGTTTGTTCCATCAATGTCTTCAGTGTAGCCTGTACTTCTTCCTTTAGAGTCGTCAGTTCTTGATCACATACTACTTCCTGACATAGTTGAACATTAACCTTTTTTTCATTTTTATATTGCAATTCAAGATTTGAATTTTTTCTTCAGTTTTTTCTGCTTGAACAATGCTGAGTATGTTTTTCGTTTTTTATTTTTTACTCCAGTTCTTTGCACATTTCATTTTAAACTTCGTTCAGCTCTTTACTTCAACATCTCTGGCGTTTGCTTGAGCTACTCTGTGTTCAAGAGCAAGTTTCAGAATTTCTTCTGACATCCATTTTGGTCTTTTTTTTTTTTTTTTTGTCTTTCTAGTGACCTTTTGGAGTCTTGGTGTGGCACTATGGGTTAATGCGCTGGACTGCAAAGTTGATTTGAAACACAACGTCAGCAGTTCAAGCTCACCAGCTGCTCCTCAGAAAGACAATACAGGGTTGCTATGGGTTGGAACTGGCTCAACAACACTTAACAGCAACAACAACAATGATCATTTGGTTTCTTCATATATGATGTCCTTGGTCTTTAGTGTTCAAAGTTTCAAATCTGTTCTTCAGATTGTCTCTAAATTCAGGTGCAATGTACTCAACATTGTACTGTAACTTTCATGAACTTGTTTTAATTTTCTTCAGCTTCAACATGAACTTACCTAGGAGAAACTGCCATCGATCCCTAGCCTTATCCTTACCGATGATAGTGAACTTTTCTTTTCCCTTATCTCTTCTCACAGATGTAGTCCATTTGATTGCTGTGTATTCTATCTGGTGAGGTCCATGTGTATAGTTGTTGTTTGTGTTGTTTAAGATATTTTCAATGAATAAATTGGTCTTGCAGAATTCTCTCATGTGATTTCTGGTATTATTTCTATCACCAAGGCTGTATTTTCCAATTGGTTCTCTTTTTTACAATTTTCACATTGCAATTACCAGTAACTTTCAATACATCTTGATCACATGTTTGATCAATTTCAATCTGCATAAGTTCAATTTCTTTATCATTGATACCTAAATTAAAATTATAGTATTAACTTACTTACTTGTAAACAAGTGTAAGGAGCTCTGGTAGTGTAGTGGTTAC